ATGTAAGGGGTGAATTAATTGACGTTTTGCAGTTTATAGACACTTTAGGTTTTTTATTTAAAAATCTTTGTCTAGATATAAAGTTTCAAAAAATTAAAATAATACAGCAGCGAAACATACACCATAAAAGTAAACAAAGCAAAGAATACACGGCACGAATCTAGAAAAAATGTGATTGTACGGAAATATTTTTAATATCATCGATCTTCATAACTGTTTTCTATTAAAATGATAGTGAATGATATAATAGCAATTTTCTTGTATCAAAATATTAGCAAATTATATACTATATATATATCGAGGAACATACATGTACAATTAATGTATCGTCTATGCTTTAGTCCATATACATGTATTAGGGTTATTTTACAAGTTTTTCGAGCTTTGAAAAAAAAAATAAACATTGATTATATTTGATTTTTAACAGATCATCATGCTCCATATATTCATCAGTAAGTCAATATAAAAAGAAATTAACATAATGATTATAACTTCACTTCAATAAAAAATTCTTCTAAAAGCAGCAGGCTTGGTAGGAATCTACATGGGGTCGTGTAATTTGGGTTGTAAACGCACGTGTTTAATAACCAGATGTATTTTATTACCGAGTGTAGAACATTTTAATTAGATGTCAAATGGATTATCTTACGCTAATATGTAACAAATATAATGATGACCAAAAAATAAAAGGTTTTTTTGTGGGAGCGGTCACTACAGAAGTAAATAAATGCTGAATCGTTGAATAGTTTAACAAATAGTAAACTATATAGAGTTAATATAACAGGGACCGTAGCGGATGTTCCCCAAACTCTCCCCAACTCCTTTTTTGTGCCTAATTCCTGTAAGACTTTTTAAAAAATATGTTCAGTATCGAAGGATTTCATAAAAGAATTATAAAAGCTACAATGATATCAACTACCTCACGCAAGATGAAGATGGCATATTATCTTAACCATTAACATATCTTTATATCGTGAGAATTTCATCACGTTTTGTTGAGAATCAAAAAAAAAACTATTTAACGTATTCGAGCTAAAAAGAAAAAAAAAATAATAATAATGGGAGATTTATGTGTAGATTAACATAATATTTGGTATTTATAAAATTATTTTTTTCACCGCATTGGAACTTAAATATCCCCATGTTTCTAGAAACTGATGTTTCTGATATTTAATGCTGAGTCGGGAAAAGGTGGGTTGGTTGTTTTGGATCTCGAATATCGATTTAAATTGTGTAATTTACAGGAAAGTCCTGTCTTTACAAAGTAACAAAACAAATTTCAAAAATCTTCATTTTTGTTAGTCTGTACCTATCTAAAATATGCCTCATACGACTTTAACAATATTCAATGATGTACGTTTAAGTTCGAATTAAAATTCTAAATTCTTCATTGAGAAGGGACTTTATACAAAAAAACAAAAACAAAAACAAAAACAAAAACAAAAAACAAAAAAAACAAAAAAAAATCATAATAATTACCGATGACTTTGAAAATTAAATTCAAATTTTTAAAGGAAATTTCAGTACTGAAATGTAGATATAAATGTATATAATTTGTATCCAGTTTTATTTTATAGCAATTTTATTTTAAACGCATCATCCCATCAAAAACGACATTAAAACGCATCAATCCGTTAAAAAAAATTAATTAGTTGGTTTTTTTTTGTTTTTTTTTTTTCAAATCAGTAAATGAAATGTCACCAAAAACGCATTTACAAAATAATAAATAAAACAGAAAAGAAAATATTTACGGATAATTTTAAACAAGTGTCTGCAAATCAAGGATAAATACATGCATTTCAGTTAAATGTTTAATAACTCTTAAAGGCAAATTCATTAATCAACAAATAGTCAAAAGGAAAATATTAAGGAAAAATCTTAAGTAATAATAAATATCTCGATTTATTAATGAAAGGTGCCGAATTTACCAATATCTGATGCCGAATTAACCAGATTCTGGTGCCGAGTTCACTAGGTGCCGAGTTCACTAGACGCCGAATTCACTTTTTCTTTGAGTGCCGAATTCACCAGGTGCCGAATTTACTTGTACCCCACCAGAACCCCTGACCCTGGGGCCATAAAATTCACAATTTTGGTAGAAGCACTCTTGCTCATCATAACTATGCACTTTAAGTTAGTTTATTTAATACCTAGGAGCAGAGAAGAAGATTTTCAAAGATTTAATGCATTTTCACTATATAATCAATAGAGCCCCACCCTAACACCAGAACCCCTGACTCTGGGGCCATAAAATTCACAATTTTGGTAGAGGCACTCTTGCTCATCATAACTATGTACTTAATTAGTTTATTCAATACTCAGGAACAAAGAAGAAGATTTTCAAAGAATAATGCATTTTCACTATATAATCAATAGAGCCCCGCCCTAACACCAGAACCCCTGACTCTGGGGCCATAAAATTCACAATTTTGGTAGAGGCACTCTTGCTCATCATAACTATGTACTTAATTTATTTAATACTCTGGAACAGAGAAGAAGATTTTCATAGAAATAATGCATTTTCACTATATAATCAATAGAGCCCCGCCCTAACACCAGAACCTCTGACCCTGGGGCCATGAATTTCACAATTTTGGTAGAGGACTCATTGCTGATTACAATCATACCAACAGTTTGACTGCTTGATGTCCTGGAGTAAAGAAGAAGATTTTTAAAGATTGCACTAATTTTAGTGGTTTTTGCCCCCCCCCCCAGGCCCCAGGGGGGCAGGGACCATGAAATTCATAATTTTTGTTCCCCTTCACCCATAGATGTTATATGCCAAATTTGGTTGAAATTGGTTCAGTGGTTTCAAAGAAGAAGCTGAAAATGTTCAAATGTTAACGCACGACGCACGACGGACGACGACGGACGAAAATGGATAGCAATAGGTCACCTGAGTTTACTCAGGTGACCTAAAAACTGGAGAAAAAACATGATTTTATTCATGAACACCATATTTTCTATTTTAATTCCCAGTTATATTCATTTTCCAATTTTTATCTATTACATAAATTTGAGAAAGTAAGTCAAAACAAGTAGATTTAAAATATGGTCTATTGCATAATATTTATACTGAAGATACAAGCAAACAATTAAACCTGTGCACATTTCAATATAGACGTCTAAAAACCATTTACATGTGATAATTATTAGATAATGTTAGTCCATGTGTAATGAGCTTTGATTTAATTGAGAACTGGGAGATGTTCAGATCCCATTAATTTGTTCTCTTAAATAAATTTAGAAACTTTAGGATCATGATGATTTAGAATTAGTGATATGTTATAACAATTTATCTTTTGAACTATTGAAAAATGTTATCTTTATTTTATTAATTTTAAATTACTAGTAAATGTATACAATGTAAACGAATGTTGTGAAGCATTTAAGACAATTATAGTATGCAGAGTTTAGGTAGAAATATTTTTACTAGAAATATTTCCTTCAAAAAGAAAAAAAAAATCTGTCTTTGGTTGTGAGTAGACAAGACAAAATTACCTGGTAACTAAAAAATAAATCATTGTATCCGAACAAACATTCCTAAGCAAGTTATATTCAAGCATATGCTTCCGCAATAATACTAATAACTTTGCCCTTTTACAATCTTTATTTACATAACTTTTATGTAAAACAAAAGATTCAGTGATTGATACTAGCATATTAAGAGAAATTAAACACCTTTACTTAATTTCTTTCCATTTTTCATCCACATGATCACTACAGGTTCCATTTCATCTGGTGCAGATATTGCATTACACATTATTTCCGTACTCCTGTTTATCGTAAATTTGACCATTTTCATCATAAAACGTTTGTGAACGCTAGGGAAAAATGGGTATAGGCTATGGATGAAAAAACCCACAATTATTGTATATTCATACATGTATAAATGTCTTCAAAACTATGTTCTCAAATGTATTCCATAAGTATTTTATTTAGGAAACGTTTGTGAACGCTAGGAAATAATGGGTAGTTAAACAAAACAAAACAAAAAACCCACAACAATGGTGTATACACGTAATTGTCTTTAAAAAATATGCTTTCAAAATTCTTTCATAAGTGACTTACACGAAACACCTTATACCCGGTAGGCGGTACTTACATGTGACATTAAGGTATGGATTTTGTATTGCGCTATTAGATATACATTTATAAAGCTCATCATCTTTAAATGTTGTATTCCTTATGTGAAGCTCTTTTCCACCATGACGGATACTATATTTATGATCCTCTACGATGTGAGATCCGTCTCTAGTCTGCCATGTTACTCCCAATACAGGACTTAAAAAATTGTTTACATGTTTAGTTATAAATACAGTTTTTTTGCAATTATATACCATGTTTTACCATATTTTACGCAACTATTTTCATATCATCCTTATAAAACCATCCAAAAATAATGATGATTCACACATTTACGTTTTTGTTGACACTAAGTAATCAATGTTTCTCATTATTAAACATGTAAAAAAAAATAATAATGTTAGTACTTTTCCATATTATATCAAGTATGTAAAAAGTAGTATGTATTATTCTATATATGTGCTCATGATTATGATGTTCTTATTCCGATATTTTTTGGTGCTGAGATATATACGTGTATGTTACTTCGAAAACTACAGATTGGATATATATTCTTAATACTTTACAATTGCATGAATAGGTTTTGTCAAAATTATCGCGAATCTGAAGATTACAACATTAAAAAAATAAAACTTCTTATTTCATGAGAAAAGAAAACAAAGCCATTGAAATGCAGTTTGGAGACCTATTTTGACCACTAGGGATATTAATACGAGGAATACTTAGCGAAGGTCATGGACAGTGTCGGTCTTTTTTATATACATGTAAACTTTATTGAGAAATCTAAATTCAGAACGTACTAATAAGTATGTTTTTCTATCTTTGAGCCAATCAACAAAGATATGAATACATGCATAAGAGCGTTAGATGTAAATTAATTATTATTATCCCATCGTCGGAAACCCACGGCTGATTACGCTTCGTTCCTCTCTCCATCACCCGTGGGTCCATTCATACCAATTCGCTCGTTTCTCATAAATATTCATCAAATTTGTCGTCCAATGAAATTAGCCGTTATAGTTAAGCAGAACTCTCCTGTTTTAAAGGTAGAAATACTGTTACCTCGAATGAAGAACAATGGCTGCGCCCAGTAACAAAAACCATATTTTATTATATCGCCGTACTTACTTATCCACATCGTCATTTACAAACCAGGAACAATATTAAAATTGTTTTGCATTTGTGACATCGGAGGATTATGTGTAATATGTGTGATAAAATGTAGAATTAGTGTAACAACAATGGCTGCGCCTAGTAGTAAGTCCTGTGTTATATGCGGTAAAATTATAAATGACCGCTCCTACAGGTCCCTGTCATCATACACAAGTCAGGAACAATACCATGAAGTATTAAAATTACTGTGTATTGCCGATATCAAAGGTTTTGCGTGCAATATGTGTGCGAACAAGTTAAACCGAGTGCAAAAACTGAATAATGACCTAAAAACACGGTTAGTGTGCATTAAAGAAGAACGAGATAAGATCGTATCGACTTTAAAAGATATGCCAGGAATTCGGAATCATGTACTTTCTGAAAACATTTCCACGCCTAAGGGGACAAAACGTGTGATCGGTACTTTAAAACTTACCCCAACTCCCAAATCAAAGGTGAAGAAAGGCTTGTTCGTCAGTCCTGCTTCTTCAAGCAAAAAACGATTATACCACTTAAATGTTGTTAATCCTGGTTGTTCAAGTCGGACAAGTCCTCTAAAAGTTGAACCTTTAAAGTGCCAGGGCATCAAGAAGGTTGATAAATCTTCACAAACTAAAGACCAGTCAGAAGAGTTTGATGTCAAGGTAATCTGACTTAAATTATTTAAGTGCTCATTAGTTTTAGCTTTTTAGTTATTGGATGTAAACTGTTTTTACATTGAATGTAAGATATACAATATTTGTAATTTCTATATATGCATTCTATTAAATATTGAATCATTATATAGATAGTGGTGAGGTACAATGGCGTGGAGAGGGTAAAGATCATAAGAGATGAACATGAACAGGCAGCACTGAAATCGCTACTCAACAATTCCTCCTCAAGAGCTGTGATGCGAAATTTCAGCAAGAATAAAGAATACAGTAAAGAAATGCTTGACATTGTAAACAATACTATCCAGAATGAAATAAGAGTGATTTCTCAAAAAGACAGTGTGGTGTTCAAAGGACATGCATCAAATAATGAAAAACTGTTAAAATTTGATTGGAAATTGACAAGCCAAGATCTGCAGTTGAAGGCACCCTACCTGTTTTCAGTTTTCAGCAGTGCTATTTCTTTGCAAGAGAAGAAAAACCTACCACAGATGCTTTCGTCCATAGCTGTTCTTTTGTACGGGAGGTCACAGACCTCCAATCAGCTGCAGTACATACTTGGTTTAACTCTTCAGAAATGTGGCCTGAACAGAGAGGTAATGTTATTTTTATTATACTTTTGTAAACAATATTTGGTCTATACTTACAAATTGATCATAATTTCTTTTCCTTTATGTGTCTGTCTCATTTTGATATCTAATGTGTTATAACCTTGTTACTTCCCACCCAGGCTACACCTAGTTTGAGGGTGGCAGGAGCCCTCTGTAAAGATCAGTCGATGAAGGTCAAGGCCATAGAACTTTATTAATGCAAAAAAATATATATACTTTTGTTTCCTGCCACCAACATACCCTACACCCTGACCCTAAGAATTTTTTTTTGTTTTCATTTTTTGTGGGCTATTTTCCAGAAATAAAAAAAAAAATTGTCCAACAATATTTAATCTTTTCATAGATGAGACTCAAAAGTGTTCTAATACATTTAAAAATAATTTTTATCGGAGAAAAATTAAATTATCCATTTGGGGGGGGGGGGGGGGGCAAGGGAAACAAAACATCTACTCTTACATACATGTATGAAGTATCTCTGGTTTTGAAAATTTGAATTATTAAATGCAATATGAATTAAAATTAAAGGCTACCATCTTGTATTAGAGTTTGCACATATGTAAGATAAATTAATTTAAGGAATTGAATTAACAATGTAAGTTAAGATAAACTTATTTTGACTTTCAGGGAATGAATATCATTCATGACCTGGGAATGGCAATTTCCCCCACAAGTCTACATAAGAAAACAAAGGAACTTGTGAAGCAGCAAGAAAATCAGATACATTCATTGATGACGTCCTATGTAGAGAAGGTTGAAAGGAGTCATATTACGGGAAATGAAAATGGTGCAGAGAACGAAATGGATACTGGTGCAGTTAACGAAAAGCAGCGACCAATTGAAATACTAGGTGACAATCTAGATATTACAATTACCCCTTCTAAAATGAGCTTGCAAAACCAAAGGAAAAGTTTACACTGGTTTCTAGTTTTGGTTAAAGAGAAACAAATCACTTTTGAGGAATCTAAAGTCCCCTTTGAACCACCTGTAGATTTTGCAGCATTGAATACTGTAAACTGGATCCCATCAAGTGAACAGTTAAATTCTTTAATGTCCAGTTTCAAATTTCATGTAGCTAGTGTACTTATGCGTTATATTCCATACTTACAATTGCATATAACAAGTTTTCCCAAGCATATTGAGCACATGTACATGGATCAGGTGAAAAAGAAATCTGTTTTTCTGAACTGCGATTTGATAGATGCCAGTGAGAATAGTGCTCAGGGTATGATAGAAATTCTTGAAAAAATTCATCAACTTGCTGTTCCGCATGTTAGGGATAATCTAGACAAGAATGTTTTGGAAAAGGTAGTTTTTGGTGGGGATGTCTTGACGAATGAAAGGGCATTCAGTGCCCAAGCTGCAATGCAGAACAGCCCCTCTGAGTTCGAGGCCCTATTAGGTGTCATTCACAGACCAGAGGGCCTACATAGAGAAATGAATTTCCTTTTGGTATAGTGTATCAAATTTGGGAGTTGACAGTTTGGAGTTATATTTAAAATAACAGTTGTTATTTCAAAAAGTCAGTTTTCTTTTCTTTTGGTTCATGATTACAGAATTAATGTAGATTTACTGTAAACCAATTATTATTCGTATCTTCTTTTATTTGCGATTCGTAAGTTTGAAATCAATCTGCGACAATTCATTTTCACAAATAGGGATGTGTGATTTTATCGGTATACTGGTATATTGCAAATTTTTGTTGTGTGATTGTGATAAAGAGATCTATCTAAATACTTGTCTTTAGGTACATATTATAAAGTCCAGAAATTTTTCATTTGTATGTTCAATCTTTCAAATTACAATTACAAAAAATGATTTTAAAATTGAAGAGAACAGCAATTTACCATACAAACATGATGGATTTTATATGCACAAAAATTTCAAGAAAGTAAAATTTGTTTTTCTAGCATATATTTTAGAAAAATAATGACTTTTTATTAAAAATCATTGTAAAAACTGCTTTTAAAAATATCATATTATCGTGATATTTTTGGATAAAAATCGTTATATATCGCGTTATGAAATTTTTGGCGATACCAATCCCAATTTACGATTAAGGAAATATTTTCTA